TTTTTAGTCGGACAGAAAGTCACACTGCAAGGCCAAGAAGTGTTCTATTTTCTCATTGGAGATCCTACAGCAGTATGCACTCTAGTCGTATGGGAGAATGGTAAATACTTTAAAGAAGGCGATGTCATAAGGATTACGAATGGGTCAGTCAGTAACTATAATTTTTATCATTTTTTTGCTATAATTTCTTTTGCTCTGATCCTATTTTTCTTATCAGTCAATTGCGTATGTTTACTTTTTATATATTATATTTGAATCTAGCGAAGTAAGACTATACGGGGGAAAAATGGAACTAACAGCGGTAAAAAATAGCGGAACAGTCAAACGCTATGATCAGTAAGTATAAGGTATTATTATAATGACATCTTTCAGGTGAGATCGAAATTATTAATGCGTTTTAAACCCTCTTTGTTTGTAAATAGGTACTGCTTTAAGTTTGTGGATTCAGAAGAGCCTAATCTATCTAAATATGACTGGATCGAAGATCCGGACAGTATGGAACCAAAGACGCACTTTGTAATCATGACTCGTTTTTTATGTTACCTATTATTTTTTCATCCTTTGTTTAATTTGACTATTGAGCAAAACTAGATCCCAGTGTATGGCCCAGAGCAAACACCTGCCTTTCCTAAACCCGAACAACCACCAATAACACCATCACAGATTTTACCACCATCTTCACAACAGCAGGAACAGCAACAAAATCGGCAACCAAACCTTCCCCCAGCTTCGTCATCATCACAGGGTCCTCCACGAAAAAACTCGCCGCATCGATTTAATTCTGATGGTCAACGGTCATCACGTCGTCCATCCGGATATCAGCCATATCGAAAAGATGTAACTCGCGGAGTAAACACTAATCGCTCGCGACCACAAGAGCTACGTGACTATGATCGTCGCGATTATGACAGACGAGATAGTCGTGATGGTCGAGATAATCGTGGTAATATGAATAGTGGTGCTGGTGGCGGTGGGAGAGATTTTGTGCATCGTGATCTAGATAGACCAGAAGATGAGCAAATGAGTTAGCTCTCTCTGTGTATGTATAGCGGGCTAGTATGAATTTTTTATAACACGAAGAGTAGTAAGTAGCACGGAACCTATGATTGTGTGGAAAGTCAATAATAATTCTAGTAGCGTTTTCTTTTATTAATTGATTGTACATCTTATTTTAAGAAAATAATGCACTTAAAAAAGGCCAGAAAAACAATATCACCAAATAATAGGGGAATTTAGCTATCTAATTTGTTTTTCTCAACATTGATGACATACTTAAAAAACAAATTCGAACCTTATAATTACTATAATAAAATATTAAAAACTCCAATTCTACTAACTATTTAATCGTCGCTTCTTGACAGATCGTTTGTCTTTTTCACCAACTCTTATTTTCTCATTCATTTTATGCTGCGCCTGAAATCTTAAGTGGATCGAATGAATGAGTTGCAGTAAGAGAAATGTATTACTACTGGTTACTAATAAATACCAAGAAAAATTATGAAATCAACACAATAAGAGTTGATTATACTATAAGAAATGTGGAAGATTATGATGAAAAATGAATCATAGTGAAAATTTGCAATATCTATTATAATAAACTATAAATAATAATTATACTAATAAATTTATATAGTATTTAGCAATATAAATATTATTGCAAAATTAATTTAAGTTATATATTTTATGCACATATTATTATTTTCAAAATATTATTAAGAAATTGTTGATAATTCTAACCAAATGATTTCATGATTTAG